TGTCTTTATCCACCTTATTCATCAGATCTGGCACTAACTTCTGGCTTTTCCCTAAATTCCAAATGATCACAAACAGTAAACATTTTGAATCAATTCAGGACATTGAAGCAGCTGCCACGGCTCAACTAAAGACACCCAGGAAAGAGGATTTCCAGAACTGCTTCAGAAAGTGGCAAGAATGATGGGAAAAGTGTGTTTGGAGCAAATGAGGGTTAATGGTGGTATGTTTTTTTTTTTAATTTAAATATTCACTTTATTTTTATCACACCTTATAAAAACACTGAAAACGGCACTCACTTTATCATCTCATTCTGTTCTATTTGCATGGCTTCTTTTACATAGCTCTTTCACTCAAAAGGATTATTAACCATGGATCCTGAAGTGGTGGAAGAAATTGATGAGCTGCAAGAAGAGCCATACCTCAGACACAGTATCAGCCCATGTGTTTTTGCTTGTGGAGCACCTTCCAGGTGCTAAGCATCAGGCTAATTCCATCTCAAATGGGCAAAGAAAATAGTCTTTCCATTCTTTAGATAAAACTAAAACAGCTCTAATAACTTGCCTAAGCTCATGTCCCTGGTGAATGGGGAAGCTAGGATGCCTCTGGACTTTATGTGAATATCTATTCTCTCTCCATTTTACCAAACTGCACTAGTACCTTGTGGGATCTCATGGTGACTGTTGATAGTCCAAAGGCAGATGAATAATTTTCTAACTTCTAGATAACGGGTAAAATTCTCAGTGTCTCTTTCTAATAATGAGATTTGTGTGTATTTTATACTGTTTGACTAATGTTTCACGATGATTTTCTGCTATACAATTCTAATTGTAAATCATAATAGCCAGCTAGTGACGTTTTGAAAAGAAAATCAGCTTAGTCTCCAGTATGCAGCAATAACTAATATAAGGCTTTGTCTGGAAGGGATGCATGGATTCTATGAAGATAAAGTATAGATACCCCAAGTTTTCTTATTGAAAAGTGGACTGTGAACAGGGCAGTGGGGATACAGCCGTAGGGAGAGAAGGGGAGAAATGAAGAGATTGTGTGTTGGAGGTGGGAAGGGTGAGGGAGAAAAAAGGAGGAGATGCAATAGTGGAAAGCTGAATCAATTTAAATGCTGTATAAATCTGTGACAGTCCTTATCACCTGCTGTAATACTGAAAAATTCTGTTAATCTTTGATACTCTGTCCATTTTCCAGTGAGGCAAAAAAAGTTGGGGGGGAGATTTGGGAAGTATGGATGAAGACACGTGCTACAATTTTTGTGGTTTACATTTGTATTCTTTGAATGCATTCAACATTTTTTTTTATTATTCTTTAACTTCGTTTTGCATCCCACTTTAGCCCATTCACTCTTTTCTCCCCAAACTGTGAAGTAGAGTCAGGACCAAGGACAGATCCCCACCCAGCTCAGCTTTCCTCGGGTTTTCTCCTGTCTGCTTTCATTTTCCTCTACCCTAACGGGACACCGAAGGCCCAGGCTTTTGTATTATTTCAATTTTTTGTAGGAAAAAGAGAGAATCCATCTTAGTGCCTGTGGGCCCCAGGAGGCGGGAAGAGGCTTCAGTGTAGAGGGCTCTTTTTATTAGAGAACTCTTAACAGGGAACAAGAATTAGAATCATCACTGATACTGCAGGGAATGATTGCTTTTTGTTTTCCTAGTAACTCTTGGCATTCTGAGTCCAGAGACCCCTTTGTTTTACTTTTGAACACTCACAATCGCATAGCACATTGCAAACGTTCCAGAAATGCATTTTAATTGTTAATCTGTGTCCATGTTGTTTTTTAATCTTTCATAAAATTAAATGCTTTTGTATTTCACATTTATTCAAAGCTCTCTTTTTAAAAAGACATTTTCAACAGTAGGAGCTCCTCCCCAATTGCTAAAATAGTAGATTCTTAAAGAACTCACAGTAGGAGAGGAGACAATTTTTTCCATTGCCATAATCCCTACAGCTAAGGTAATTTCTTCCTCCATTTTTCTCTCCTGCGTCTTTCCCTGACACACGTCTGGTATCTGTGTGGATAGGATGTATGAACAGAACACATCACAGGCACTCATGAGCAGTGTCATGTCTGTTCTAAGGGTTTCACTTTGACAAAGCTGTTAATGTATCAATTAGGGGATGAGAAGATGTCTACAATAGGGAAGTGCAAGGAAATACATCTTCTTCTTGATGCCCTACATAACTGGTGATGTTGAACCTACAGAAGAAAAAGGCATGATAAATGTCTTGGTTACCTGCAGGATTACTATCTAGAAAGCAGTTTCTATGTAATGCCGGGCCAATAACCAACACCACTATGCAGACATTATAAAAAATTGACTCTGTGTAAAACCAGGACCCTCACACCAATGACTAGAAACTACAAGGGGTAATTCATCTGCTTAACAGGTTAAAGATGATTACAGCTGGCCTTATTAAGCAGCAGACTAATCTTAGTTCCATCTAGGAGGCCAGAACAACTGAGCTGAGTGAATACCCTCAGAAATGGCAAACATGTAAGAAGGTCCAGGGAGTGCAACTGTGATCAGCAAAACACTTCATGATACAAAACCAGAATAGAAAGAATCTTGTCTGGAACGAGGCTAAGGCAGACTTATTTGTCAAAGGCAGACATTTACTAGTAGCATACCAGGTTGTAATTCTGAATACATTTTGTAATTCTGAATACATTTTGTAATTCTGAATACATTTTCCTGAAATTAGTGGGCTTCATATAGCTGTTCTGTACTTTTACTAATACAAACAGTTAAGTAGGTTTCTGTTGCATGTTTTGGGAACCTAGTGTCCATTTCCTTTAATTCAGTAAAATTTACTTACCGAACATTTATTGTAGCCTAAGTACTTTTTAAGGTACAAGTATAAAATGGTGAACAAAAAGAAAACAGTCCCCAACCTTAGGAGCTTACATCCTAGTGATTGCCTAAACATTACAAATAAATGTGTGAAAGCTTAATATGGACTCTAGCCAAACATAATTCTCCATCCTGAGAGTCTAGTTCAGTGATAGAGTGCTTACCTAGCATGCACAAGGCCCTAGGTTTGATCTTCCAGTACCACAAAAAAAGAGGAATAGGAAATAAGGAATAAGAAAAAATAATTTTCTCCTTTACAAATGTTAATATCTATTAAGTTTACCTTAATTAATTTCCAAAAAAATTATCTTTATAAAATATAATAATATCAACTATAGTTTTATCATTTTAATTTTTTTCAAAAATTAAATACCTATGTCTCCCTTTTCTAGAAATCTTTCTACTTTTCTAGTGAAAGAAAAGATATGGTTCATGTTTCATACATGGCAGTTTTTAGAATTTTTCTAATTCAAGAACTTGAATCTATTATTATCACATAATATTCTCCAAAATCTATTTATTAAGTTACTAAACCATTTTTTGTGTTTTGGGTAGCCATTTGAGTTACGAATATCAAAGAATTCCATAAATTTTAATATTAATAAATCTAATAGTACAGTAATATTAGAGGTCATTTGAAATATTGGAGAAGTGATGCAGAAGTAACCAGGTTTATAGACATCTATCTAGATACGGAAACATTGAAGCAAAGTAATTTCTAACGCCTAGATCTTGGGTCCTCTGGCCTTCAGGCTGGGGGTCTGTCTCACATTCTGTAGTTTAATGATCTCTGCCATTTGAATGGCCTGTGGCTTTACTGAGATTCTTTAAGGTATCCCATGCCTGTGCCTGCGAGGAGTGTCCTTGGGCATGACCCCTAAGTCTCCTGACCTGCCGAAGGCCTGGGGCTGGTGGCACCCCAAGCCGCTGACTGAAATTCCTAGTTATGCTAACATTCAGCAAAATCTTAGTAGGCAGATAACTTTAGAATTTGAGGACCCTAGTCAAGAATTAGTTAACTCTCTGAGCACCAATAACATTTACACAATAGTAGTTTCTATTTTTGTTTTTGCCCACTTACTGGGTAGCAAACAGTATATCAAATCCTTAACACATCTTAACTGCTTATTTCCCAGAACTATGAAGTGATACTCCATTGTCCCCACTTCACAGAGGAAGAAACTAAATGGAGCTCATATCAGTTGCTAAAGGTTATTCAGGTAGTTAACATTAGAGTCAGGTGTGGAGACAAGCTCTTAAATATCTGATTTGACATTAACTTCAGTTGACAGGAAGAGCCACATACCCCAAGAATTTAAATAATATGCTCAAGAGTCCAAGAATCTGGGGTGGGAGATAGAGTATCCCACTTTACATCCAAATTCCTGTTAGTTTACAATTTAAATGCTCCTCAAATGGCTCCCTCTGCCCACCCTAAGTTCCTAATGCAACACTTATCTTACAGTAAAAAATAGTTTATATGCATAGAGAAATAGGTGTTAAAACTCATACAAATAGGTATTTTAGAATTTCCTTTGATGAAATTACTCTTTATTTTTATTTAATAGCTGTTTGATTTCTATAGTAATACTGAATGTTCAGGCAACCTTCTTTTACATTTGTTGGTAGTGGGTTTTTTTTTTTTTTTGTAACATGAAATCTTTGAGGGTCTCTGGTGTAGACTTGGTATTTTCATCTGCCTATTATACTGGTTATACTGTGTTATCCAAGTGAGATTTTTAAAAGTCCCCAGTGTTTAATAGTGATTCAGCCTTTGTCATTAAGACAGCTAGACTGGGTAATTCTGACAATGTACTGAAACTCGTTTTGCTGCCTTTTAAAAAAACTTGTTTTTCTAACCTAACAATAATTTCACTGAAGGAGAAAAATTAAAATTGCCTGTTTGACAATGTAATGATATCAGTTTTTCCTCCTTAGAAATAAAGCAAATACCTCAACCATGACTGCAAGGGTCAGTTGTGCTGTTTAGAAAAATATCTCACAGCTTTGTTTTCAGGATAAATCTTCCCATTCTGAAGCATTTAGCTTTTTGGTTTCTGAAGTACAGTATGAATAAGAGAGTCTATCTAATGAAATTCAGGGTTGACTCATCTTTTTCCTCTCTTCTTTTTCCTCAGCTCTTTCTCTTTGTAGTGTGGAACTTTGAGCTCTACATGATACCCCTGGTTCTGTTGTTACTACTGACATGGAACTACTTCTTGATAATATCAGGGAAAGATAACAGGCAACGTGATACAGTAAGTCTCTACTTTCTTACTCGTGTTTTTTTCTTATTCTTAGTTCCCCTGAGATCAGCACTGAATCTGGTTTTACAAACCAGAATTTTTCTATATAAATACTCAAGTTTGGAGGAAAGTTTTATCAGATCAAAACTAACAACTGTTTGGTCCTAACTCAGTAGAAAGTATTCACCTATTTCTAGCATTACTCATCCTGATAGAAACTAAAGGAGGCGGGGCTGGGGATTTAGCTCAGTGGCACAGCACCTGCCTGGCAAGTGCAAGGTCATGAGTTCAATTCCTGGTACCAGAAGAAAAGCAAAAACAAACAAAAGAAACTAAAGGAGGCAACACACCAAAGAATGAGCTATGATTTGTAATCATAAATGGCAGTTACTCAAAATGATTGTTCCTTCTCCCTGTTTCTGTGTTTTAATGAATCCTGAATTAAGACGTTATGCCACAAAATTCTTAATGATCAGATCAAACAAATGTGTTTTACTTAAAACAGTTGTGAGTGTAGTCATTGGAAGAGAGGAAGGGTTGATGTTTGTTGCCCTGGAAAAGTGTGTTGAAGTAGTTTAAGCCAGTGGAATTCACTGAACAATAGCAAGTACCTCTGTTTCTGTGACAAGTGTATTTAAGTACCAGCTCAAGAATGAAGAACTTTCATATAATTTAAAGGTAGTGAAACTGAACTTACCTGGCATCTTTGGCACTTTAGAAAGTTTTTAGAATGTGTATGACAACCTGTTTTCTCTCTCTCTCTCTCTTTCTCTCTCTCATTCTTACTCTCTGTCTCTCTTTCTCTCTGTGTCTCTGTCTCTCTCTGTGTCTCTCTCTGTGTTTCTCTCTGTCTCTCTGTGTCTCTCCCTGAATCTCTGTGTCCCTCTCTGTATCTCTGTCTCTGTTTCTCTCTCTCTCTCTCTCTTTCTCTCTCTCTCTCTATTTTAGATGAAGAAGCAGAAACTAGAGACACTGGAACCGCTTTTGTTCTCCCGACAAGCTTTTTATCCCTTAGAGTGTTCCAGTTGCTAGCAAATATATTTGCAATAGCTTTCTTGCATATAAATACATAAGGGGCATGCTGGGGAGATAGCTCAGCGACACATCACCTGCCTGGCAAAAGGAAGGTCCTGAGCTCGATTCCTGGTACCCAGAAAAAAAGTGGGGGGCTCAGGGGAGGATCTCCAAATAGGACATTTGCAATTGGATAGCTTGATAGATGGCCATGAAGAAACTACAGGATTATCAAACACAAGAACCGGCTTGGCAACTACATGTCTTCATCAGATTCCTTTGGCTTTTTATGCACCATTAAGCTTTCTCATGTGGTTTATAGTGAGAACTTTTTGCCAACTATTGTGCACATGTGTAATGACGTATAGAGACCTGCTTGTCAGAGTAAAAGCATTACAGAATACTTTATTGTAATAATAAGCATCATAGTAGTGAAAAAGACATTCCTGTGACATGAAAGAACATCCCTTTGAAGCAATGTGCACTTCGAATGGATCAACATTTTCTTTTTGGCATCAGGAATCAAACTCAGGACCTTGTGCTTGCCAGGCAGGCGCTTGAACCACCAAGCTACATCCCTGGCCTTCAAATGGTAACATAAGTAAAATCTTATTTCTGCAAAATAATTTCTCATCATCAAAATAAAAGAAAGTTCTGATGTACACAGAACCACAAAGTATATGGCAAAGTTGCCTACAACATACTGAGTTTACTTCCCTGCTGTATTTCTGTATCTCTCACTAGAGTTTGAAGGAAGATACTTTTTGTTTGTCTTTGTATTTGCCACTGTCTCAGGCATGGGGGTCTGCAAAATAAAAGTGTTCAGAAACAGTTTTTATAAATGATGTCAAATCAAATATGAAGATTGCTAACAGAGATTTTAATGGTTAGGCAGCATCAACAGACAAGAATTACTATGAGCAAAGATTTTTATGGCTATATATATTTGAATTGCACACTGAGAGATGAGCCCCAAATGCTATAAGTGTTGGTGTCATGGGGACTAATAGGTACTTTGGTCAATTAATCCAGGATATTTTCTTTAAGAAAATAGGACTCTCTCAGACAATTGCTTTTTTTATCCCATTTATTTCAGAGAGATTGTCAAGAGAGAAGAATATCTACTTTTCACTCAGTTGCCTTGAGACAAATTTGCAAATAAGATTACTTGCAAATAGGAAAAAGTGGTAATTTAGTTTTAGCTTCTTAATCCTATGAGGGAGCTTATCTTCAATATTTAGTCGTCGGTGTGAGAATTCTTAATGAAAAATTCTGAAACTGTAGACCGCTTGTTATCTTTTCCAGAATGTACCTGCCTTGGCTGCAAAAAGTCCACTTTTACAGGGGAAAATAATATATAATGAATCCTTAGTGCTGAAAATTCTCTGACTTTTTATAAATGTGTAGAAAAATTACATAATATGGAATTAAAATTGCATAACATGCCATTTTTCAACTGCCCTTTACTTTTTAACGGAGTACAATTCCAAAATAGACTTCCCCAGATCTTTTCCTCTTAAGCACATGTCTTCCAGCAGAATTCCCCTTTTAGCCCTGGACAACATTGTATCCCCCAGCACAGCCCACTGTGAAACATTCTATAGTCTAACTCTCTAGAATGCCAACTGCACTCCATAACTCCCAGTAATTGCCTTTTATTTGCCCAAAACACACATATCCACATATTCTGTTCTTCCCAGGCACCAGAGCAGCAATCACAACGTTTCATTCAGCTTCTTATTCACTGGCTCAGTTGAGACCTTACGTAACTCTTAAATCCAATTTGTCTAATTATGTGTTTTCTGGCATACCCAGCTGTGCATTTGAACTGGTTGCTCCTTTTGAAAAGAGACCTGGATTTTACTTTGCTGGTTACAGATTATATATGTGTGTGTATGCAAATTAAGGGAAAATGCTTACAGGAGTTGCTATGCTGCGCCTAAGTGACTTCTGTACAGTGCTTAGCCCTGGAAGAATGGTGCTTTGCCCTATGCCCTTACTGATATCTCAAAAACATTGCAGGACTTTTCAACATGTGTAAAAACTTTACTGGATCTTTGCTGTGCATTAGTCACATGGTTGCTTAATGCAAAATCGGAAATTTTCTGTATTGGAAAGAGAAAGACAGAGAGGAAGAGAAAGAGATATACAGAGAGGCAGAGAGAGAGAGAAATATTTCTGCTAGGAAAATGAAGCTATACATTCAATTGAGAAAATTTAATTAGGATAAAAACTATGAAAAGAAAAACCAATCAAAATGACCCTTTCCTCTGTATAGAAAAAGAAAAGGAAATAATAATTCCATGACATAAAAAAGTTGAAAGAGAAAAGAAAATAAACACTGTGAGACATGAAAAGTGTATGGATGAGTGAAAATTCTCCTGCACCGTATTGATAGATAGTTGAGATAAATACTGCAAATGGCAAGAGTGAATACTGTTTATTACGAGAAGCCTTTCCTGTCATAGGGATCCCTAAGATCGCAGGAGCTAAAACCTCCACCCTTCTCCTTCTAGGGTGCCTATTCTAGTTTAATGAGAAAAATGAGGTACGATCCTTGCTGAATAAGTTTTGCAACATTTAATGAGCTGAACCTGTTAAGGACAGGCAAAGTAGGCAGCCACTCCTGAGGTTGAAGATGTAGTCTCAGAGGGTACCCAGGAGAAAGGCATAGTTAGAAACGATATTTCACCTCCATTGTTTCCCAGTTCGACTTGTTAAAAATAAGCAATCCTAGGTCTGAATCTACCTAGACTGGGATCGTGACATTAAAATTTCTAGCATGAGAACTCTTAGGCTTTTCCAGAGGAAACTGCTTAATACATGCTTCATTCAGAAATCTCCCTGGCATGAAAGGGATATAAAGATAGAAATGTCATCCTCTTCTTGATTTGAGCTGTCACTCCAAAAGCTGGGGAAAATTCTCCCCCACACTGCCTATTAGGCTTGTACCAGCCAGCTAAATTATAAGTACTACAGCAGAAAAAATTCTGTAAGGGAAGAATAGATGCCAGGAAATGGTCTTTACTTTTAGTTTAAAAATTACTAATTCCATTCCTCTTGGGTGCCGTGTGAAGTGCTTTGTATTCACCGTGTCATTTAGTCCTCTCTGGAGACAGAAGCCGACTGTGTCATTCTGGCCAGTATGTTTGTCCTTCTATATCAGGTGATTCGCTGGTCTCTTCATTTGAAGCAACTAAGGGAGCCCCCTTATGTGGAAAAAGTATGGCTACTTGAACCCTTTAGAAAGGGGCTCAAATCTCAGACAATGAAGGAAATGGGTTAGCCAAGCAAACCAAGGGTCTCTCACACACCCCGTAGGTATCATTATGTCTGCTTTACATACCAGGAAATAGGAAGAGAAAGGTTAAGTAACTTGTGCACAGGTACATTTGTCTCGGGTTTTTAGTACTAACCCTCCAGTCAATTATATTTCCTCTTGGAACTCTAATTTGGTCCATCCCACCTCTCCTTGGTCAAGCATCTCCCAAGAGTTATAGAAAAAACAGTAGCACCAACTCTGCCTTCGAGCAGACATATTGATTGGAAACATTTCCCCAACCCTTTATCTTTCTTACTGTTTATTCAGGTGAATGGAGTAAATGCTTGTTAAGTAATTTCTGCATGTCAGATATCCTGCTAAGCCTTTTCGAGACATCACGTGTTTTTATTCTTTACAACAACGACATCAAGTAAATGATTTTTGGTGATGTTATCCTCATTTTACAAATGAGGAAATTCAGAATGAAAGGATAAATAATGAACTCCAGAGAGTAAATGTGATAGGAACCCAGCCCTGGCCTTTGTGGAGCCTCTGGACACTTTTCTAGTAAAAACTTGGGCATGACTTTCCCAGAGGACCACTTTCGAAGCGTCTAGGGCATTACACAGCATCACAGATGTCCCTAGATCCCTTCCTATCAGGTACCCAGAGACTTCTCAAGAAACGATACTGGAAGTCTGTCCGGCCCCTGTTCACTTCAAAAGCATCCACAGCC